TCACCTAAGGAGGAAGTGGTAAGGGGTGGGCTTTGAGCTTGGTTTATTGTGGTCCTGAAGAAAGAACAGCTAATTTTAAACATTTTTCAAGCTGAGGGTAGCAATCTCTTTGGTGTTCGACATGGGTTGATGACGCCAGGATTGACAGTTGTCATGGGGGATAACATTACCACTAAGGCGGATCACTGTTTGTTTTGGATGCCTGATTGGACAGCACAGAAATCCTGAGGAGAAAACAGAGAATCTGCAGACAGAAAGTATTTTTATTGCAATTCTTGCTGCATCTTGCCTGAAGGATCCATGGTGTCTGCTTTCAGGAGGTTAGCCCTGGAGAAAATGTGTTAAAACCTATGCTTTGGTAGTCGTCCCCTGTGCTGTAAGCAGGGTTGTGTTGGGAAGAAAAAAAAAAACAAAATTTCTGGGACATCTGTATCTGAGCATTGGCCTCTCTGCAATTTAAACCATGGTTGGGAATACAGGATGGCATAAAATGTGGCCTCAGCTATTTCGATACCGCGTTACTTGATTTTCCTGCGATCAGGGAAGCTTCCGATTAGTGACTGTTTACTGGCATTGATCCCCTGAGAACCATATCTTGAGGTGGATCTGAGTCAGGAATATTGAATAATTTGTCAGAGGGTTTCCAGTCGATGAAAGAACTAAATCTAATCTTCATTAGAGTCCTTCCTCCTCAGGATGTCCTTATTTTGGCCTGTTGGGGACTGAAAATTGGTAATGCTTTTTTAGGAGTGAACCTTAATATTTAGAAACGCAATCTCATGGTTTTACTTTGTGATTAATCTACCATCCTTACTTCCACTACTTTTCTAGCTAAAGATCATCACCCTGGTTAAAACTTTGCCAGTGAGAACCCAGCAGGATTCCACCAGCACGGCCACTGCAGACCTCAGAGCCCCTGCTTCAGGGCCCTTATATAGACGGTTCACTCTGTGGTCATCTTCAGTAGGGTCACATGCACACGCGGCGTGCTGAGGTAAGGCTTTAACTCAAGGGGTTTAAATGGGAATTGTAGGCAATTTGACAGACTTTTTGGAGCGCAAATGTTTAAAGAACTGGATTTCACCTTTATGGAAGAGTGTATGCAGGCTGGGCGCAGTGGCTCACGGCCCTGTAATCCCAGCACTTTGGGAAGTGCCAAGGCGCGGAATCACAAGGTCAAGAGATGCAAGACCATCCTGGGCACGTGGGTGAAACCCTGTCTCTTTGACAAGAATACAAAAATAGCCCACATGGTGGCATGGTGCCGTAGGTCCCAGCTACTCGGAGGAGAGACAGAGGGGGTGACATCACTTGAACCCAGGGGAGCAGGGTGCAGTGAGCCGAGATTGTGCCATTGAACTCCAGCCTGGGCAGCAGGAGCTGAGACTCGCTTCTCAAAAAAAAAAAAACAACGGAAAAGATGTATGTAGGTATAACCTTCGCCTTCTATGAGTAATTGTAAATGTGGGTGTTTGATAACCAAAATATGGCTGAATAAGTTCTTTCTGAGGCTTGTTGGGAAGTATTGAGTTATTTTCAGGTGTTCAAGTTCAGGGAAGGTTAGGTGGAGTTCACCAAACCAGCTTGATTTGCTGTCCTTTGCAGATATGTCTGGTAGGTGGAAATTTTCATAAGGACGGTACTTAGGGTACTACCAAATTTTGGTAAATAATCTCTTCATGGGTGTGGTTTATTTGGGGAAGAATAACATTTCACAAAGAATAAACTGTTTCTACTGGTGGGTTCTTATCTTAGATTATCAAAGAGAAACAGGTCAGTGGTTACAGCCATGGGGAGGATTAATGAAGGTGAAGTTGAAAGGGCAAATGTGATCTGTCTGGTGCCTTCATAAGTAAAGGCGTGAGGACATTTACATGTCACGAAGTTTAGCCTCGCTCTAGCCGTACACAGATGGAGCCTTAGGTAACATAGTGGCCATCTGTCCAGGTTCAACTGGGAGGTTAATTTATATTAAGTTTAATTTTCTCATCAACTTGTCTGCCCATGACTTGACTTTCCAGATCTCAAGGAGCTTGAATTCAGAAGCCTTTATATTCTGGAAGCCTGTTATATTAGGAAATAAATGGGCTTATGGGTTTTTGGCCACTCTTCTTTCTCTCTCTCGTTTTGCGACGCATGTGTGTTGCCTTGTGTGTGCTGTGCACACGCGCACTTTTTTCCCAAAGTAAAAAAAAAAGGAAGTTGGGCAGCTGAAGTAGGAGACCCTTTCATCCTTGCTGTCTCTCTCCTGACACATTATGCATCGATGGCCACCTTTTGGGTCTTCATTCCCAATCAAACTTGATAGTGATGCACTTTCCTGTAGGACATCATATTTGGGAGTTTAGGAACCGCAAAGAGGCGGAAGGACACAGGTCCCATCCCTGGGGATTTAGCTCACCTGAAAGGGCAGAACATTAGGCTTAAGGAAGAAAATGATCTCAGATAACCCTTGCAAATTCTACATGATGGACAGGCAGTACGCGCGTGTATAGAGAAATTTAAGAAGAGAGACCTGGCATTTTTAGAAAACTGCTATGTTTTACCTCTACGGGCTTAGTTATCTAGTTCGCTGCAACTTCTTGTCTGCTTTTTGGAGCACTACTGCCGCCACCCCATAAACCGCCCGCCACTCCTTTATCTTTAATCTTTTAAAATGAACGGGCTTGAACTCACGTTGCTTATTGAAGGCGCTTTTGTTTTGCGTTATTTGTGTTTTTGAGACAAGAGTCTCATTTCTGTTGCCAGGCTGGAGTACAGTGGTGTGGATCTTGGCTCACTGCAAACTCTGCCTACCTGCCTCCTGGTTCAAGCAATTCTCCTGCCTCAGCCTCCCAGGTAGCTAGGACTACAGGTGCAGGCCACCATGCCTTGCTAATTTTGTATTTTTAGAAAAGATGGGGTTTCACTATGTTGGCCAGGCTGGTCTTGAACTCCTGACCTTGTCATGATCCTCCCGCCCTGGCCTCCAAAAGTGCTGGGATTATAGGCATGAGCCACTGCGCCCAGCCTGAGGGTTTTCTTAGTTCTGAAATTATGTGCTTGTCTAGTCTTTTTCATTACCAAACAATGGTTAAGAGCCTAGACTCTAAAGTCAGAGTGTGGATCTTGGTTCTGTGATTTATCAGGCATGTGACTTTAGTTGTTTACCTGTGGTGCCACAGTTTTCCCATCTGTAAAATGTGGATAATAATAGTACCTATATCATAAGTTTGTTAGGAGGATTAAATTAATATTTATAAAAGCCATAGAATATACTCGACACATAGTAAACACTATATCAGTGTTTGTTAAAGAAAATAACTACTTGCATTTTTCCTTTTCCTATCAGGACTAACTTCGGGTGGTTAATCTTCCTTCTGTCAGTACTGAGGCTAGATTAAATGGTAATCAACAAATACCTGACTTAATGCTAAGTACAGTTAATCCTATCAGTGGATTAATAGCTACCATTTGAGTGCCATCTATGTGCCAGGCATTCAGTCGTTCTGCTTATATTTTCAAACATTATTAAAGAATTGAGAGCTGGGCACAGTGGCTTATGCCTATAATCCTAATGCTTTGGGAGGCCAAGGCAAGAGGTTCACCTGAAACCAGGAGTTTGAGACCAGTCTGGGCAACATAACAAGACTCTATTTCTATGGGGGAAAAAAAAAGAATATATATATATATATCTTGGCATGGTTTGCATGTGCCTGTAATCCTAGCTTCTCAGGAGGCTGAGGTGAGAGGATCACTTGAGCCCAGGAGTTCAAGGTTACAGTGAGCTATGATTATGCCACTGCACTCTAGCCTGGCTGACAGAGTGAGACTCTGTCTCTATAATAAATACATATGGTCGTGGTGGCTCACACCTGTAATCCCAGTACTTTGGGAGGCTGAGACAGGCAGATCACTTGAGGCCAGGAGTTCAAGATCAGCCTAGGCAACATGGTGAAACCCTGTCTCTTCTAAAACTACAAAAATTAGCCAGTTGTGGTGGTGAACGCCTGTAATCCCAGCTACTCAAGAGGCACAGGCATGAGAATCACTTAAAACTCAGGAAGCTGAGGTGGCAGTGAGCCAAATCGTGCCACTGAGCTACAGCCTGGGTAACAGAGCAACACTCTACTAAATAAATAAATAAATAAAATAAAAATTAAGAAATGAAATAAATAAGTAAACAGAAAATTCCAATTTTAACCCTGCCCTAGTTCTGGAATGAAGAGTTGGGCTAGCAGTCAGGATTGCTACTAGTGATAGATAGTCAGTGTGCTCCTTGCAATTCCAGGTCTCTTTGACCTATCATTTTTTTTTTCTTTTCTTTTTTTAGTCCCCATTATGCCCCAGAATGTTCTTATTCTTACTGTTATCTCTGAAATCTACTAACTCCCTCATTTCCCAGCTCTCCTGCCTATCCCTGAAAATGTAAAGCCTTGCCTGTATTTCCCCAGTTTTACTTAATTAAAACTAGCCTGGGAATGAAGAACTTTTCCTATAACATTTGTGTTAGCTATTTGCATGCTTATTTAAACATACAGTTGCCCAGGCGCGGTGGCTCACACTTGTAATCCCAGCACTTTGGAAGGCCGAGGCAGGCAGATCACCTGAGGTCAGGAGACCAGCCTGACCAACATGGAGAAACCCCATGTCTACTAAAAATACAAAAATTAGCCGGGTTTGTTGGCACAGGCCTGTGATCCCAGCTGCTCGGGAGGCTGAGGCAGAATTGCTTGAACCCGGGAAGTGGAGTTTGCAGTGAGCCGAGATCGCGCCATTGCACTCCAGCCTGGGCAACAAAAGTGCAACTGTCTCAACAACAACAACAACAGCAACAACAACATATAGTTATCCTGGCGAATTTATTTAATGTCATTATCCAAACAATCACTGGGTATGTCAGGTCTTCTAGATAGATATCCCCTGGTTTTACCTTGTTGATTTCAGATTGTTTTCAGATTGATGCCAGTTAATTTGGAAATTAATTTTCTAGTCTTTGGCCGTGAAAGATGATTAGGTGCTTTTCCTGGTAAAGTGGTGAATTTCTTCTGAGGGTATACGACTCATATACTTAGCTGTTCACATTTATTTATTTATTTAAATTACCTTGAAGTAGAATTTTCCCAGGTTATTTTCTTTAGTTTTTATTTAATCATCTTATTTAACAAGTGGGATATGAGTAAATCAGAGCTCCGCCTCCCGGGTTCACGCCATTCTCCTGCCTCAGCCTCCCGAGTAGCTGGGACTACAGGCGTCCACCACCATGCCCGGCTAATTCTTTCATATTTTTAGTAGAGACAGGGTTTCACTGTGCTAGCCAGGATGGTCTCGATCTCCTAACCTTGTGATCCACCTGCCTCGGCCTCCCAAAGTGCTGGGATTACAGGCGTGAGCCACCATGCCCGGCTGAGAAACTTTGTTTTTATATTGGTACTTGGTCTGATGAATGTGTATTTCTCTCTGGGATGAGTAATGTCATTTGCATTAATTCAAGTTGGGAAGTGCCCATAAGGAAACTAACTTCTACATAATGTAGCTTTCCACTCTTGCGTAACACATTAGTTACTATATGTGTTTTGCATGCGTCTGGCTGTGAAGAGGTTTTAAAGTGCAAAGATAATCCTCTCCACCTTTTCAGAATTGCAATATTTGTTTCTTATAGCTGTTTCAGAGTGGTGGGGGGAACTGAATTCAGATTCAGACTGGGGCTTAGGTGCCATCTAAAAGAGTTTAAGAAAAAGACTACTGGCTGGGTATGGTGGCTCACGCCTCTAATACCAGCACTTTGGGTGGCTGAGGTGGGCAGATCATGAAGTCAGAAGATTGAGACCATCCTGGCCAACATGGTGAAACCTCATCTCTACTAAAAATACAAAAATTGGCTGGGTGTGGTCCCACCTAATTGGTTGGCTGAGGCAGGAGAATTTCCTGGACCCGGGAGGCAGAGATTGCAGTGAGCCGAGATAGCGCCACTGCACTCCACTGGCAACAATGCAAGACTCCGTCTCAAAAAAAAATAAATAAATAAAAAGAAGACTAATGATGTTATTTGAATGAACTTATTTTCCCATTTTATCAAAATGTTGAATTTGGTCCTATAAAAATGACAGAAATCTCCCAGTGTACTTCTATACAATAGGAAGTCTACTGTTTTAGTAGTTAAGGTTAGAATGAGACTTTTTTTGTTTTTTGTTTTTCAAGAATACATTTTCCTCATTGATCATCTCTGTGAACTTCAGGCTACTCTGGCCTTTTAAATTTTATTGTATAACTGGAGGAATATGGTTCTAAACTTTCCTAAATTATTGACAGGCTGTTTGTGTCTTGTACATAAAAGTGTCTTGTGTCAGTAGTTTAAATGTTATCTAGTGGTAAAAGTAACTTTTAAATAAAATTTTGTTTTTTACCAGTATAATTTGTATAACCATGAGCGTATGATTTTTTGTTTGTTTTATTTAACAGTCTCAGGGCATAATAGCTTTTTTTGTAACTGATTTATTGGTTGAGGATTACTCAGCCAAAAAAGAAATAATACTTTGACTATTGTAAGAATATATTTTTCTCAGGTTTGCCACATAATGCTTTGGAAACATTAAGTGTTCCAATGCTTTTTTAAATATAGTATTAAATCCATTTTATAATGAGGTAGACTGAGTCACTAAACATATAAAATGTAACTTATGAAGCGATACAGATGAATCATTGATAATTGAATAGAATCAACAGACTTCAAATACTCTTTTAAATATCATTATTGTCAACAGGGAGAATCTTATGGGTTACATAAAAGTGAACTGGGAAGTTTTCAAAGGTGAAGTCTGGTTGAGAAAGGAAGTAATGAAGCTGGATAAGAGATTCTCCTGTTGGTTATAACCTCATTTTTCATTTTCCTCCTTGTTTTTCGACTTCTTCCAGGTAAAGAAGTTATTTAAATCTCTGTGTGTTCCTTATTTTGTGCTTGAACTTGATCAAACAGGTAAGTTTCTGTTTAATATGTAAATCATAGCTGCTGACTGTACATTTTATTTTATTTATTCTACCTGGCTTTAATTTGTCTTCCTTGAGGTTTTTATTGTTTAGTGAGCACTTGCTAGCTCACTAGTCATTTAGATAGGGTACTCTCCTGGAGCTAATCATATTTACCTTTAGCCTTTACCTAGTTTATAACCTTGATATTACCCAGAGTTTCCTGTTACTGAAATTATTCTTCTTATTACTCATGAATCTAGTTACAGATACAGTATTTGCTGGTTTTATGGTAAGTTTGTTTTTGCAAAATTGTCTCCTTTCTGATAAGTAATGCACATAGTATTTGAATTAAATATAAATTGAGATGCATTCAGAAATTTTGGCAGGGACATACAAATATCAGTAAAGGTAAAAGATCCATGAAAAGTGCTACTGGGAAATCCCAGGGAGAGAAAGGTTGGTGGAGTATAGCAGAAAGTTTCTTTCTAGGACCATGGTGCTCCTTTTTTGTGGGTCAGAAAATCCCAAGGGCTCACAGGCAAACATTATTAAGAATCTAATCTAGGCCTGTTGGTGACTCATGCCTCTAATTCCAACACACTGGGAGGCCAAGGTGGTAGGATCGCTTGAGGCCAGGAGTTTGAGACCAGCCTGGGCAACAGAGTGAGAGTTTGTCTCTACAAAAATAAAGAATTAAAAAATTAGCCAGGCATAGTGGCATGAGCCCGTAGTTCTAGCTACTCAGGAGGCTGAGGCAGGAAGATTGCTTGAGCCAAGGAGTTCAAGGTTACAGTGAGCTCTGATTGCACCATTGCACTCTAGCCTGGATTCCTGAGTGAGACCTTGTTTCAAAAAACAAAAAGAATCTCCTAGTGGCCAGCACCATCATTTCTATTAGGAAAAGTGGGCCTCTCCAGATTAGGAAGAGGAGGTAAACTTCATGCCTAATAGCTTAAAGGAAGCAGAGTCCTAGGCATTGACAGTCTCTGCTCAGTCTCCAAACGAATACAAAGAAAGGGCCTGGCGTGGTGGCTCACACTTGTAATCCCAGCACTTGGGGAGGCTGTGGTGGCTGGATTCCCTGTGGTTGGGAGTTTGAGACCAGCCTAGCCAATATGGTGAAACACCATCTCTGCTAAATAATAAAAAAACATTAGCTGGGTGTGGTGGCGTGTGCCTGCAGTCCCAGCTACTCAGGAGGCTGAGGCAGGAGAATCGCTGGAACCCTCCTTAGGAGGCGGAGGTTGCAGTGAGCCAAGATTGCGTCACTGCACTCCAGCCTGGGTGACAGAGTGAGACTCCATCTCAGAACAACAACAACAACAACAAAAACAAACAAACAAAACAAAGAAAGGATTCAACTAGACAGAGAAATATATGCGGCAATTGGGAGATGTGAGCAATTGGCATGTAAGTTTCATTTCTAGGGTCAGGAGGAATGAGGTAGTTGTGTGGCAAGACATATTACTTGATGTTTCTAAAGATAGGTTCTCTAACACAGAGAGCATCACATAATAACTACCACATATAGAGTGTTAGTTCCTGTTTTACATGGACTATGCTGGGTTAAGTATAGTCACCTATACTCACATGAACTCAGCAAGGAAGATATTCTCTATATTTTATAAATGAGGAAATTGAATCCCAGAAAAGTCAATTAACTTTCTTAACATTGACCTGGTGCGGTGGCTCATGCCTGTAATCCCAGCACTTTGGGAGGCTGAGACAGGTGGATCACCTGAGGTTGGAAGTTGAAGATCAGCCTGACCTATATGGAGAAACCCCATCTCTACTAAAAATACTAAATTAGCCGGGTGTGGTGGCTGGTGCCTGTAATCTCAGTTACTCGGGAGGCTGAGGCAGGAGAATCGCTTGAACCCGGGAGGCAGAGGTTGTGGTGAGCCAAGATTGCGCCATTGCACTCCAGCCTGGGCAACAAGAGCAAAACTCCATCTCAAAAAACAAACAAACAAAAAACCCAAACAACAACAACAACAACAAAAACTTCCCTAACTTCATATAAATACTGGATCTATAATTTGGACACAGGCCTGTGTAATTCTGAAGCCTACGTTAACAACAACAACAACAACAAAAACTTCCCTAACTTCATATAAATACTGGATCTATAATTTGGACACAGGCCTGTGTAATTCTGAAGCCTACGTTATTTCAATAATACCGTGTTGTCTGTCTCCTCTACAGTGACCCTTCTATTCCTTCATCAAGGAAGGCTCTTGCCCCTAAATACTCCATAATATGACAGGAAATCTCAATATATGAAATTTCTTCTGGTTCCAAAAGTAGCCTTTTATAAAAATATAAATTTTCCTGGGAAACTTAAGTCACTTGCAACTTGCTGTGAATTAGAGAAAAATAACCAAACAGAACAATAACCAAACAAGCAAATTAAGCTAATATAAGATAAAGCAAATGAACATGTCCTTCAAGGATGGGAAAGGTAAAGGAGGTAACATCAGAAGAGATGGGCAGGATGAACGCACTAAGTGCTTAGGGAGCATGATTTGTAAGGATTTACTCTCTGAATCTGGAAAACTTGCATTTTTTGGTAACAAATGGCAGATGTTTTATTTCTAAAACTGTTACTAAGTGGCTAAGGAAGTTTTAAGAGTCTGTGATTTAATACATGTATGAACTTTATTTTCAGTCCCAGAAAATAAGCATTGGATTATGAATTGACTTTTGTCCCAGTGGTCCCCCAGTTATACTTCCCTTGCTCTTTCTTTGTTTCTGTTTTTGTTTTTGTTTTTGAGATGGAGTTTTGCTCTTGTTGCCCAGGTTGGAGTGCAATGGCACAATCTGGGCTCACCACAACCTCCACCTCTCGGGTTCAAGTGATTGTCCTTTCTCAGCCCCCCGAGTAGCTGGGATTACAGCATGTGCCACCACACCCGGCTTATTTTGTATTTTTAGTAGAGATGGAGTTTCTCCATGTTGGTCAGGCTGATCTCGAACTCCTGACCTCAGGTGATCCATCCACCTCGGCCTCCCAAATTGCTGGGATTACAGGCGTGAGCCACCACGCCCGGCCCCCTTGCTCTATCTTAAATGTCCTCGTTACTTTATCATTTTTCAGACTATTCTTATGTTTTCAAATGTGTATTGCCAGAGGGGAGGTGCAGTGACTGAAAATCTATTAACTTTCTCCTTTTCCAACTACTTTTCTGTGTGAGACTGGATTTTTCATTTACTTCTACCAAAACAACGTATATTGCAAAAAATTAACCCAGAAGCAAATATGGGAATATAGTTGTCTTTTATTAGGACTGATGCTAAAAAAAATTTAAAAATGTGAAACACCAGTCTTCTCACTATGTTTAGTTATGTATTTATTTTGAGACGAAGTTTTGCTCTTGTTGCCCAGGCTGGAGTGCAAAGGTGCAGTCTCAGCTCACTGCAACCTCTGCCTCCCAGGTTCAAGCGATTCTCCTGCCTCAGCCTCCTGAGTAGCTGGGATTAGAGGCATGAGCCACCATGCCCAGCTAATTTTGTATTTTTAGTAGAGATGGTATTTCTCCATATTGGTCAGGCTGATCTTCAACTCCCAACCTCAGGTGATCCACCCCCCTCGGCCTCACAAAATTCTGGGATTATAGGCGTGAGATCAGCCTGGCTAACATGGTGAAATCCCGTCTCTACTAAAAATACAAAAATTAGCCAGGAGTGGTGGTGGGCGCCTGTAATCCCAGCAACTCGGGAGGCTGAGGCAGGAAAATCACTTGAGCGCGGGAGGCGGAGGTTGCAGTGCGCCGAGATTGTGCCGCTGCACTCCAGCCTGGGCAACAAGAGCAAGACTCCATATCAAAAAAAAAAAAGACCAAGTTTGATACGCCGTTCTAAGGCAAGTAGGAAGCATGAATATTAACACAGTTTTGGTTTTGTGAGATGTATTTGTCCCAAGTATAGGAGAAACACCATTCTACACGTGCAGTTGGCCCTAGCCACACAGGAGAGATGTGATCTGGTTCATGTCTTCCATGAGCTTGCAGTCATGGAGCTGGAACTGCTGATGTAGTCTCTAAGTGCTGGTTTCATGAATAAACACCTCCTTTATCTGTTTCTTCTAGGCTCCAAAAGAACCCTCCGTAGGCATGATTTTTCACACCAGTGTTGGTTGCGTAATCTTCCCAGGGCCTGGATCATAGTGGGTATTTAAAGAGTCAGAAGATTAATTGGTAGACAGGAATATTTGATATAGAATCAGATGGGTGCATTTGTTCATTCAGCATGTTTATTGAGTGCCTGCTGTGCACTAGGCTCTGTATACTAAGCACTGGGAATACAGTAGTATATTAGGCAGGTGTGCTTCCTGTCTAAAGGAATTAGACTTGCTTGTGTGTGTGGTTTTCTTCTGCTCCCCCCGCCCTGCCCAGCAAATTCCTTTTATTTTCCTTTAGTACTGAGGGCCTGTGTACTGCCTAACTGGATTGGTAATGGAGTGAGTGCCCCGTGAATTCCTGTGTTTGCAGTAGTATCACCTCTCAAAGAAAATCAAGAAGAGAAGTTGTGCTACCAGGGGATCCTCTCTCTCTACCCTAACATTTTCTTCTTCCTTCTTTTGGCTGTATTTGGGCCACTCTACATAAATTAAGGTTATTATTTGAAAACAACCATCAGGGTCAACTGAGTTCTACTGAGATTGGTATTGGAGAGAGAAATTCAGCACCAGGAGGCCTGGCATTCATGTCCTGTGTGTAGGCAGTGGTAGTAGTCATACATGCTATCCTCCCTGTGCCAGAGGCTTATGCATGTTCTCCTATTTAATCTTCAGAATACCACCAAACAAGTAGGTGGTGATATCACCTTCTTATGATGAGGAAATAAAAACATAGTAAAGTATTAGTATACAGGACGGCTGGCTTTCTGTGAACCTACTGGCAATTTGTGGTCCCTCCCACTACTTCCTGAGACTATCTCATAGAACCTTTCATGACTTGCCTCACCTGTCTTATGTATAATGTTCATGGTGTGGAGATCATGATAGGT